ATAAAATTTTTACAGTAGTTATATTACAATAAATTATATTAAATATGATATATTAAATTATAAATACATAATATATTATATATATATATATATATATATTAGTATATACTGTTATATACAGTATTGTATATTGTAATTGATTTATTACAGTAAATATTATTGCTGCAATAAATATATGAATTGGAACGAATAAATGGTATATAATAAACAAAGAAGTCACAATATAGATAGAAATATTATTGTATAAATAATTATTGTTAAAATTAATGTGTGTGTGTATATATACAGTGGGTACGGAAAGTATTCAGACCCCCTTAAATTTTTCACTCTTTGTTATATTGCAGCCATTTGCTAAAATCATTTAAGTTAATTTTTTTTCCTCATTAATGTACACACAGCCACACACACAGGAAAAAAATTAACATTACAGACTAGTTCTACTGTATATAGTTATGTCAGATGGTAGAGATGATTATCATCGAGATAAGCACAAAAGATTTTTTTTTTTTTTTTAAAGGCTGCACAACAGAACATTTACACAGTAATTGCCCTCAGTTTCAATAAAATTCAACAAAGATTGAATGTTATTACCCATGTAGGCCTTTCTGAGACCGTCCCACAGGATTTCAAACAGGTCATATTGCAGTGTGTATTCATTTCAGGAAACTCGGTTCTCTCTAAGGCACTGGGGCTCACATGTGTAAAACAGGAAATTTGGTGATGAAGAGCAACAACCAACAAAAGCATAATCTCGTGGGACATGTTCGAAACTGCAACACAGCTGAGGTCTGAAACCGAGAGCAGAAGCACACAATGCAAAGAAGTATCAAGTGCAGCACAGTAGCCTTCTTGAAACTCTCCTTCCTCTCAAAACCACCAGATTAACTTTCAGAGCATAAAATCATCCGAGTTTCTCAGAATGCAGTACATAGAACTGTGAATTCTCAAATGCCCATTCTATGGAAACCACATATTCACATAAAAGGCATTTATATCTTCAGTACAGAGTTTACATGCGTCTGTCCTACAGCAAATGTCATCAAATGCTTTCGTGTGGATATGGTGCCATTAACAAATACAAATATATAGAGAGTTATTTAATGTACACATCTTTCTATCTAAATGCAACAGATGTAATGAATCAGCGTGTTTTGTTTTTTTATAGATAAAATCCATTAAAGCATCTACATCAGTCTAGGGCCAGATGCTGTGGAGGAGTAACTGATCAGTCTGTAACACTAAATCCTCAAGTTACATACTATAGAATCTACACCACTAAAACTAAAGATATATTCCCAGAATGCATTTGGTGATTATGAACAGGCAGTTATGGATGGGTAAAAATAGATGCATTTGACACAGTCTGGAACATCAGCCTTTAATCAATGCAATACTGTAACTTTCATCAGAGCCATCACATAACTTATTATATGTTCATGGGGGTTATAATATATATACAGTATTTGTATTAGGGGTGTCAAACCATTAATCGCAATTAATTGCATCCAACATAAAATTTTGTGTTTACATAATATATGTGTGTGTACTGTGTATATTTATTATGTATATATAAATATTCACACATGCATGTACATATTTAAGAAAAATATGTTATATGTAAAATATTTATATGTATATATCTAAATCAGTGGTTCCCAAATAGGTCGGGAGTGGATATGCATCGAGGTAAAATAAAGTAAATTTAGAAAAATTAAAGTCAATAAATATTACTCAACCCGAGTAGTTTGCATCACTGGAAATAGCTTTCAGTCATTATATATTTTGGTTACGGCCTTGATATATTATATATAAATTTATTTATATATATATATATATATATATACACACACACACACACACACACACACACACACACATACACATACACATATACTTTTAAAATATCTACATGTATGTGTGTGTATTTATATGTATATAATTCTATATACATATAAATATATACAAACTTTTCTTTTGGATGTGATTAATTTGATTATTCGCGATTAATCATTTGACAGCCCTAATATACTGTATATACATATGTGACCCTGGACCACAAAACCAGTCTTAAGTCGCTGGGGTATATTTGTAGCAATAGCCAAAAAAACATTGTATGGGTCAAAATTATCGATTTTTCTTTTATGCCAAAAATCATTAGGATATTAAGTAAAGATCATGTTCCATGAAGATATTTTGTAAATTTCCTACCATAAATATATACAAATAATGCATTCAGATTTGTGGAACTCAATGCACTGAATCTCCACAAATTAGTGTAGTTACTATGACAACCAATTTGAATGTGACAAGCAACTGGTGTCTGAAAATTATATATATATATAATTGGGGGGGGGGGGAATTCAATTAGAAGCATTTCCAGTAGTCATTTAGACCCCAATGTGTAACCTAATATAAATATGCTGTTGACACAGATAAAGCACATGTATGAAATAGTGTACAGCTTTTTACATAAAAAAAATTTTTTCCTGAACAACATGCTCAGTGGAGACAAATTATCAGAGAACATAAGAGCAGCTGGTCTGTGTCGTAGCCATGTGTAGTGGCCTTTAAAGAGCCACACTTCAGAACAAGTATTGACTATTATCCTCGATTTCTACCGCACAAATGCCACGTCATGCCATCACCAGGCCTCTCGTCAGCCGGTCGGACTGTTGTCCATACTTATGATTCATTCACACTCTCTTTGGATATACTCTAGCTGCCACGTCCATCTGGATCCACACAGACTCAAAACCTGCATCTTTTTCACCAACCACTCGCTAACCACTTTAACTGGATGATATCTGTGCTGGTATAATGCTGCGCCATGCTAGTTTAGTATTGTCAGTTTGTGACTTCTAATGCTGGCCAAAACTGGGTGATGGAGAAAAAATAAAAAAGCACAATAGACAAACAATAACAATGAGGAAACTTCGCTTCGGGCTGACAACACATCATGATGGTCACCGCATTAACTCTGAAGCAGTCAGAAAACAATAAACTCCACACACAGCCCACGCTCACACAGCACCGTCCACAACAACAGAGTCATCCTCTTCCCCCACTGTCCTCCCTCCTGACGACTGAGTCACACCCTTCTGCTGCTGTAGGACACAAGAACAAATTCACAAACTCATCGCCCATCATGGATCCAGATCTGGTTACTACCAAGCTGTCATACAAACTGTAAATGCTTGAACATCAGGTGTGTTGATTGCCAAGTTCCAATTGTGAAATTGTACTTCTGATACTAATCTAATACAATAAATAATTAAGTATTAATCAAGGATTTGTTTTTTTAGACATTTTGGACAATGCTTCCAATTTGTAACTTGTAAATGTGTGGTCACATTTATCGTTGTTCGGCAAATTTTTGCAGGTGCATTCCAGTCATTTCAATAGGAATCCATGCAATTGGAAATTTCTTGTGAGGGCAGTCGATTTCACCAAACAAATTTCACAATGGGTTCACGCAAGAATCCTGCTTGGTAGGAAAGTGACTTGCAAGCTGTGCTTCACTATTGACAATAGACAACGGTCCTTTGTTGTCTGTGAAATTATACAGAAATTTCGCTAATATATAAAAGAAAAAAAATGAAAGCGCAAACCACTTTACTTCGGCAATTTAACGTATATTTCTGAGTTAACCAGGAAATTCAAAGAGAAAAACAAGTAGGGTGGGACTTCATTTCATCCACTAAAAATTACTTGGATCACAAAAAGTGGGCGGAGTTTGAATTAATCAGTTGATATTATCCAAAAGCCTGCACATGTCTTGATGACATCATCCGAAAGAAAATTTGTTTCAGAGCTAGAGCAAGTTATTATATTTTGATGAAAGATTATGAAGACAAACAATGTTTTTCTTTAGAACAACATGCACTGATGAATCATGTGCACACAGTAAAAAAAAATCGTATCTAGTATCATTCATATTTAGTATCATCGTAAAACACTGTTTCTGTCTTTCTATTTCAAAATTTAATGTTTAATTCAATGCATTAATTGCAGTTTCTTTATAATTATTTGTAAAAAAAAAAAATAATTACTAGCAATATCTGACTTAAAATTGTTTCAAAGTAAATCCTAAAACAGTTTTTTTTTTTGTGTAATGAGAAAATAAGTAAATTTTGACATTAAATAGGTAGAGAACAAATGTTAATTTTATTATAACTATCAAGTAAAACAAATAAAAGAACACAGCACATATGAATGTCTACACACTAGTAAACATTAAAAAAACATCCAGCACAGCACCAGGATTATGCTGGTCTCCCTTGTCAAGTATCATTTTCACAGGCGTTTCAGTTTTGAAACTTAAGACAGGTCATTAGCAACTCAGGTGATTTCCATCTTTTAGCAGAGAATGAAGTTAGAAACACTTGAAACTGAGATGCTAGAAACAAATAAATGTGGCTCAGTGTCATACACAGACTGGTAGTTCATTTCTGACAAATGAAGGTGCGACTATTCTCGGTCCAAACATGTCCAAACGCATCTGAACACTGGTATGACTAGTTTTCTGTATCATCTTTGCATATTAAAATGTCTTGAAACATAAAACCGTGCCTTTTCTCAAGTATTGGTCCACGATGTGTTCTCCCACATTCACACTTATCTTGTAGCTGTCCTTTCTCTTTACACAGACCCAAACTCAGACATCCAGGACTCGTATTTCTCCAGGTCTGCAGCCGAGACGGATTTTGAGATCTTTTTGAGTGCAAGCTCAAAGTCCTCCATGGTGACTGGCATCTGCAGCTCATCTTTAGAAAGAGCACGGATCTCCTCCGGACTCAGACCCTGGATCCTCCGTCGCATCGCCATCATCGATGCATCTCTGAGAGCACAGACGCACAAAGTTCATTAGTCAAATTAACATCATCAATTCACGTGTTTGGAGCATGCAGCTTCATTTAAAGGAATAGTTCACTCCAAAATGATTATCTGCTGAAAATTTACTCACCCTCAGGCCATCCAACATGTACATGAATTTGTTTCTTCATTAAAACAGATTCTGAGAAATTTAGCATTGCATCACTTACTTACTAATGAATTCTCTGCAGTGAATGGGTGGCATCAGAATGAGAGTCCAAACAGCTGATAAAAACATTATTATAATCCACAAGTAGTACACATGACTCAATTCATCATTTAATGTCTTGTGAAGTGTTAGTAATAAACAAATCCATCATTAAACTGTTGCTTCTGGCAAAAATAGTCCACAATCCATCCAAGTCAATTCCCTGTTGTCCTCTCACATAAAAATCCACCAACATATTTGTTTATAACAATGCGTGATCTGTGCATATTTCTCTCCTGATTCAGAAGAGAGGACTTTCTCACTGGAGAAGGCAATATTATGGATGGAGGACTTATTTTAGCTGGAAGCAATGGTATGAAGTTAAAAATGTCTCTATGTATTTATTACAAACATGCAGCTTTTTGCGTCACAAGATGTTATCTGATGGACTGGAGTCGTGTGGATTACTGTAATGTTTTTATCAGCTGTTTGACGGCACCCATTCACTGCTGAGGATCCATTGATGAGCAAGTGATGTAATACTACATTTCTCCAAATATGTTCTGATGAATAAACAAACTCATCTACATCAGAAGATCAGGGTACATTTTCAGCAATTTCCTATTTTTGGGTGAACGAATCCTTTAAGCATTAAAGTGCAAGATAGTAAAATACTTTCTCCCCTCCCTTATTATGCAGAAACAAAACATATAAACCCATACTAAATTGATTAAATCGTTGTCAGTTGGGCAATATGCTGTGTGCTTTATGGGACGAATAGGTCCATGAAACAGCTAGAGCTTGTTGTTTTGGTTCAAGATAGCTCTTCTATTCAGGAATTTTCTGCAACAATGAAGGGCTAAAAAGAAAGGAAAAAATACTAACGGGCCCCAGGCACGCACTGCTGAGCTTGAGTCTGTTCTTTTTGGCTGTGATTTTGTCACTTTGCACTGCATTACGTTTTTAGAGTAGAAAAATGACTTGATGCTTAAGAGCCGTCACATCATGTTCAGTTAGGACAAGGTGTTATCTGTAATCCTGAAAACATACTGTACCTGCAGACGTTGGTGATGTCAGCTCCTGAATAACCCTCAATTTTCTCAGCGATGAGGGTGAGATCCACATCAGATGCCACTTCCACTTCCCTTAGGTTGATCTTTAAGAGTGCTGCCCGTCCTTGAGCTGTGGAGTTCAGTAATTGTTTGATGAAATGTTTTTATAAGACAAATGATTTAGTGTTGTTTTTTTTCCTATATTGATTAAAAAATAGATCATCATGAGGCTATTTTGACTACGGTATTTTTGTATTTTTGAAAATATAAGTCATTTTTTTATCATCTGATCATTTTATCATCATAGTTTTAGTTTCACTTTAAATAAATTTGTTTAGGCTTGGTGTTTAAAATAAATGTTGTTTATAATGAATGCCACTATAATTTATGTTTGTTTAATACATACATTTTTAATCCCTGTTCTGCTCTGTATACCATTAAATGCATTTGTTACTTGTTGTGGAGTAAGGAGAACTAAAATATATGCTTAAAGTGTTTATATAATGTTTGTAAAATGTCATTTTATTTTTTATTTACCTGGTATTTTACATTATTTCTGAATGTAATAATCATACGTGACTTATCTGACTGATGCAACTTATCTGTGTTTTTTGTTCCTCTCAACAAAGCAGTTTTGAAACGATCCGACTTCTAGTAAGGTGCGACTTAATTTCCAGGAAATATGGTAAATATATTTTTAATTAAACAAAATTGAATTTTAGATTATTTTATTTAAGTTATATTAAATTAGCAATGAAAATTATAAAATATAATAAAATAAAATAATAATTTTATTATAAAGTATTTGTAAATGCCTTTGTTATTTTGATTTTAATTTATGCTGGTTTTATTTAATTTTTTGTACTATTATTATTCATATTTCAAAATGTGCTTAAGTGTCAGGAAAAAGGCCACAATTAGAAACATCATGGTCCTAGAAATAAACTTCCTTTTATTTGTGTTTATATAATTTTAAAAAAAGTTTTTGGGGAGAAATATGACCTTTTTAAAATGTGACATATTTTCAGCTCTCATCCCATTTAAAATTAAAAAATCCAGGCCCTGTAACTATAACAAAGGAGTTGCATTAGACAATGAAAGCTCGTGAGAAATGACTAACTAACTGAACTACACAGCACAGTGTGAATGGAGAGAAATTAGTCAGGCTGGTTCATTTATGAGTGGGTGACATGTATGGAGAAATCAGAGGAGCCGTGACTGCCTGGAGAACGTTTTCCTGTTGATGGGCGTTTGTGTGCGAGGGTGTTAGATTACCAGTGGGTAGTGGAATGTAGATCCTCTTCTCCAGTCGTCTCCTTAGAGCCTCATCAATGTCCCAGGGGAAGTTAGTGGCAGCCAGGACCATTACCATTTTAGAGGGATCGTCATTCTCTTGAGCACCTCCTACACCTGATGCCATTACACGGGTGGGTGTTAAAATAAGGCTGCATCATTCAATGTACTATCATAACAGAGTCGCCTACTACACAAAACTCACCATCCATCTGCACGAGTAATTCTGACTTCACTCTGCGACTGGCCTCATGTTCGTCTGATGTGCCCCGCCTCCCACAAATAGAGTCAATCTCATCAATAAAAATTGTTGTAGGGGCATAAAAACGAGCCTGTTAAAGCAAAAAAAGAAAAAAAGAAGTGCAAACATCCGGTATAGATAATATAGACTATAACATGACCAACTTTTTTAGTTTATTACATATTATGTTATCATAAATTATATTACTTAATTTTAACACCATCAGAGTCTGGATTTTTTTTCTTTTTTTTTTATTAAATGAAATAACTAACTAACAAGCCTTTTTTCTTATATAAACACACAATGTGTCATTCAGTTGTGTCAAATCACTGTTGCTTATCAGAGTTTTTTTATTTCACGTTTTATGAAAGCATATTTTTTCTCTAACAACCTGGCAACCTAACTAACTGATTAACTAACTGACAAACCTTTTTCCCTATTAAAACAGTGTAATGTCCATTTTTTGCTTTTATGAGGGCATAACTAATTAGCTGGTTAACTAACTAACTGACAACCAACCTAAATAACTTTTTCCCTATAAAAACAGCATATTACACATTTATGTAAAATCAACACTGACTTTTACGAGTACTTTTACATTTTATGAGGGCATGTGTGTTCTTTATCCTTTTCCTCTAACTAACCAACTATCAAACTAACCAACACAGAGCGCATTTGCCATTAATTTAAAATCATAATTTATTTTCAGTGGTATTTTGTTTGTTTTTATGAAGGCATATTGTTGTCTAACTGACTAACTAACCAACTAACTAAATAATATTTCCCTTATATAACACACAGTGTGTCATCCATGTGTCAGTTTAACATTGCTTGTCAAGGGTATTTTTACCTTTTAAGAGACCATATCTTTTTCTCTAACTAAATGTTGCTTGCTAACTAACTAACCGACTAACTACCTAACTTTGCCTATAAAGACACAAGTTATTGTCACTAATTTTCAGAAGTATTTTTTTGTACCATTTTTTACCTGATCTTTAGTATCATTTTTTGGCAATTAATGCTAAATTAACTTTTTATTTTTTACTTATAAGTTGTCTAACTAACTAACTCATTGTTTTCTATGCTGATTTTAGTTTTTTTTGCCTGTTCCAAAACCATTTTTATCATCCAGAAACTGTCTAGAAAGGAGCTTTACCATGGGGTCTTTAACTGAGACATTTTAAATATATGGGACATTTGTATAATTTTCGATGATTTGTGCCCTGAGGCCTAGCTACCTCCTGATCCTAATCACTATCAAATTATATCTTCAGATAATAAACAACTAAATAGACAAACACTATCACAGTGTCTACATTGCTTCCTCAGAGATCACTCACCATTTCAAAGAGGAGCCGCACCAGTTTCTCAGACTCTCCCCTGTACTTTGAGCTCAGCGTGGAGGACGACACATTGAAAAATGTTGTGCCACATTCGGTCGCAACCGCTTTAGCCAACATGGTCTTCCCTGTGCCTGGAGGGCCCACCATCAGCACCCCCTGACAGTTTAAAAACAACAAGACTTTGCATGGGCACATATTTAAAACACACAGGTGCAGCTGATGGTTTGAGTTAAAAACACCTCAATAAAACAGATGGCATGTGGAAAACAAACTGAAGACGAAATATATCAGCCATACTCAATCTGTGACGAATTATACAGAACTAAGGTGTTGAAAAATGTGCAGTCTGTCCTACATAATTATCCAGTATAACAGCGCCCCCTGCTGGACTAAAAAACTATGATTACAAGATATGGAAACAAATGGGAACATAAATGTTGGCAAAAACATAGTATTAACAGACTATGAATCCATATGTGTGTATGCTCAGATGTCAAACTCTGGCATCAAGTGTCATCTAACATATTAACCTTCCACGGGCGGCGGATCCCCTTGAAGAAGTCTGGCATCCACATAGGCAGGACCACTGCCTCTCTCAGCAGCTTTTTGGCATCTTCCAGATCTGCGATATCATCCCTGCAGGAACAGTAACACATGACAGCTTGCCTGAATCACCGTCCAGCACTGAAACACTAACTGCCACTGTGACTGACAGCTGTCGCTGACTCAACATATTACTTATTTGTCTGGTCAAGTATGAAAACTAAACTTACTGCATTGCTATTTATACAGCCAATTCCTAGGCCCAGAGGGATTTTCACATTTTCAGGAATGATTTTCATAGAAAAAAAGATTTGGATTTGAATTTAAAGTTCTAAACCTTATTGGATGCTGAAAGCATAATCAAACTAGCTAATGAATAAATATGTAAGAGCAAGTAAAAGTGCACTGACACTTTGTACTTTAGTATATAGTGTTTAACAGTTATAAGTAGTTATTAGTTATTATTTGATCTAATCGTGAATTTGAGAGAACCACGATAATTGTGCTGTTTACATTTTAATTGCATTTTGCCATTCAAAAGGGGAAATTTAAGTGCATAAACCTCAAAATTAATATTCACCCATTATTAGTGGGCTCCTGTGTGAATGTGACATGGACCAAAATTAAAGTGGGGAAAAAAAAAAAAAACTTTTAACTTTTAAAATATATTTTCACAGCATTAAAGAAAATCAAATGGGCCTATTCAAAGGCACAATATGTACGATTTTTTTTTTTTTTTAAATATCCAAAAACCACTAGAACAGTGTTATATATTTTGCTGACTTGTGTACTTACATTATCCCAAATGTTTCGAAGAATGTTTAAATCCAGAGAAATAAGCAATTTTAACTAGTGACACGGACCGTGTCCATAGTGTCATTGTGTCGCCTGCCAATGACGTCATACATCCATGAACATGATTTCTGCCCGAGCCCCGTCGGATTGCATCGGCTGTGGGGATGAAGATGACAACTCCCATGATTCCACACTCAGTCACGCCGTCATCAAACTACGCCTTTGCCTCTTTTTTTATTTTGAATACGCGCCCTCTAGCGGCGAAAATTACATATTGTGCCTTTAATTATAAGTAAAAAATAAAAAATTATGTATTAGGCTCATACTGTAAGAGACATGAGCACAACAGACAATTAAATCGTTAAATCGCAATTATTTGTTTGACAATTAATCAACAGTACAAAATTCATGGTTGTGCCAGGCCCAGTTTTTTTCAATAGTTGATAACAACATCTAGAGTGCAAAATGATGAAATATCACACATTAGTCAATTTAATTATAGCAAATGAGCAATACATTTGTATAAAACTTTTATTTTGTATACTATATACTGATAAGTCCTTGAACAGTAAAACTAGTAGTAAAATGGCACAATACCAGTGGATATTGGGATTCCGGGACACAATGTCCCTCTCCAGCGCATCCACCAGATCGCTGTCATAGCCTGTGCCATCAAACTTCCTCTGTTCCACATCAGCAGCACCCTCCTGGGCATTCTTCTTACTCTGAAAACACAGACAGGCAGGACACATTGCTACAACACATGATAATAGGTACTTAGAAATCCTAAACTGTCTGAGCTGAAACTAAATCAACCATAATTCCAATTCTGACTAAGTTTCCTCAGTTTGTACATTCGGCCTAATAGTTTGAATAACTTACTTTTTCATCCTTAGCTTTATTTCCACGGCTGTCGCGGGTGTTCAGTCTCTCTGATTTCACGTTTGGCTGACCTCTCCCCACAGGTCCGCGATGCTGCAATCCAGGTGACTCTTTTCTCTGGGGCTTTGATACAGTGATTGGCTTCTTCACCTGGACAGGTCCCCTATGACCAGACAGAGTGACATCATAGGGCATCTGGACCATGTGACCACATATGCAAACAGTTACACCACATTTGTGTTAGGCCATTCTGACTGGCTTTTTTTTTGGTGCTTAATTTGTGAACCAATTTAGTCAATATAATTTAGATGTACGTATATAATGTCTATATAATACATTGGATGCAAGGAAGCATTAAATTGGTCAAAAGTGACAGCATAGACATTTATAAATAATGCTGTTCTTTAGAACTTTCATCAAAGAATACTGAAAAAAATTTTTATCATGGTTTCCACAAAAATATTAAACAGCACAACTGTTTTCAGCATTGATAATAATAAGAAATGTGGTGAGCATATGAGACTTCTTTCAAAAACTTTTTTTTTTTTAATTACCGATACATATATATACACACGTATATACTGCCAGTGTACAATCAGGTGTAGTTAATCACCTTCTCAATGGCACACAAAGCCATTTGACTTTCAGCTGTGATCTTCTGTGGTCATTTTGATCAGCTCAGCATGAAAAGAGCTTTCCTGCAGCATTTCAGTTCTTGCTAGTGCAACTGAAGCAAACAATCAGCTATGGGTGGAAAAGCACTGTCAAAAGATCTCTGGGATAAAGTTGTGGACAGGCACAAGTCAGGAGATGGATACAAAAATTTCAAAGGCTTTATCAATGCCTAGAAGCACAGTGAAGTCTATTATTAAGAAGTGGAAGGTATTTGGTACAATACTGGATCAGGAAGTCGCTCCAAACTGGATGAAAGAGCCAGGAGGAAACTGGTCAGAGAGGCTACCAAGAGGCCTACAGCAACTCTGAAGCAGTTGCTGAAATTTATGACAAAGTGGTCATTGTGTGCATGTGCCAACAATATCACAAATTCTCCATAAATGTGGCTTGTATGGGAGGGTTGCAAGAAAAAGCCACTCCTCAAGAAATGCCACATGCAGTCATGACTGAGCTTTGCCAAAACACACCTAGAAGATTCTGAGACAGATGAGACTAAAATTGAATTATCTGGCTTCAACACCAAATGATATGTCTGGCTGAAATCCAACACAGCTCACCATCCAAATAACAGCACTCCTACAGTAAAGCATGGAGGTGGTAATATCCTGTTATGGGGTGTTTCTCTGCAGCAGGGACTGGAGCACT